TGGACATTTCTTGATGCTAATGAGTACCCAAGCTAGGTTTCAATGAGAGGGCTAGCCTACATTTTCAACACCTTTAAAGACTAGACCGGCCCAGAGTTCAGATCTTGGACCTCTTTCTCTCCTTCCCTCGTTACTATTGTGATTATTAGAAGTAGTAACAACAGAAATTTGTTTACTCACAGTTTCTGCGGCCTTGAAGTCAATGACGATGGTGCCTTCAGGGTTGACTTCTGGTGAGGCCTCTCTCTCTAACTAGTAGGTGGCTGTTAGGTCATATAACCTTTCTTCTATGGTGCACAAGAAGAGAAGGAGATCCCTCTATTTCTGCTTTCCCTTATAGGAACACCAGTCACATATTCCACTGCCTTCATCTTGTCAATGGCATCCAAATGTGTGTGTGTGTGTGTGTGTGTGTGTGTGTTTATACAGCCTTCACTTCACTTGGAACTTCAGACTTGTTTCTAATTATCTACTTGATATCTCTTCTTGTAGTTCTACAGACACATTCACCATGTTTAAAACCAAATTAATTCGCCTAAGTGTAAATATGGTTCTCCTTAGACATCTATTCAGTAAAGCTTGGGGGCTCAGCACAAAAAACCTTCAAGTGTTTCTTGTACATGCCACCTCCAGTCCTGGTTGATTTCTTTAAATTGCTTCTCAAACATGTACATCTATTGTTTCCTCTAGCATCGCCATACTAGCCCATGTCACCTTCTCTCACCTGACCACTGCAGTGGTCTCCTTGCTTCTACTTTTGCCATGACCTCCTTTGAGAACACAGATTATAATGCCTTGCTGCTTACAAACACTTCTCATCAAAGGATCCAACCCAGCCTCACCCTTGACTACCTTTCTGATTTTATCTACTTAGAATATCTCTCCCTCCCCTTTAGCTGCCCTGACCTAGCTTTCTTCAGTAATCCAAAGCACATTCCAACCTCAGTGTTTTTGCATTTGCTGTTCTCTACCTCAAATTCCCTTTTTCCACATAATATGACTTGCTTCTTGATCTGTGTCTACACACAAATGACGCTTCCTCAGAAAGACCTTTTATTTATTTATACATCATCCTACTTAAAACACCATCCTCCTAAAATTCTCACTTACTGTGCTGTTTTTTTTTCTATTGTTTTTATTACTATCAGACATTATTTTAAATCTGTTTTATGTATCTGTACTTGAATATTTGCAAGCTCCTTGAGGGGAGAGAAGGTAAAGGCATTGTCTGTCTTGTTCACTGCTATACCGTCAACATCCAAAACAGGGCCTGACTTCTACTAAATAGATATTAGTGGAATGAGTGATGTATGAATAAGTGGCTACACCTACCCACTGAGAAATATTCGGAAGGAATGCCCAACTCACTCGGCATGATCCATAGTCCCCAAATCATTGCTCCTAAATTCATGTGCAGACTCACTATCTACTGATCTACACTTACAGTACCTTAATGCCTCCCCTTTGGATCATTTCCAGCTTAGGTTTCTTCTTTTATCTATTCTCACAGAAAGCACTTTCCATCTCCATTCCACTGAAGTGGTCTTTTAGAACTATTTTTATAACATAACATGTTTGTGCATAGGTAAAGCAGTTTCTATTAGGAGGGTTATAGCATAGCAGCAGAGGTAGGAATAGAGATGAGGAACAAGAAATTAGAGATTTGGACAAATTAAATTTTAAACTTCTCAAGGGACTTGAAAATATCTTAAGAGACAGTATCCTTTTGAAATCATAGCAAATGGGGAAGGTAGCACAAGGCTTTACTTATAATTCACCTAGAGTCCGGTATCTAATTTTGAATCCATCTAGTCACAAGATTTTTAAAAGGAAAAGGAATGTCTTCAGAGATGACAGACAATATAGTGAGAATATACCATATAACTTCAATTGTTGAATAATAATAGTAACTGCAAATATTTTGTGCTAGGTATTATTCTAAATATTGTTTGTAAAAATTTATTTAATCCTCATCCTCTGAAACTAATAATATCCTGTAATAGCAGATGGAGAAATGAAGTTACAGAGAAGAGAAGTAGCTCCCTCAAGGTCATACAGATAGAGATAGGGCCAATACTGGCTTCAGACTGTGCTCATAACTACCAAGCCATTATCTTTTAATATCTACAAAGAGTGCTGTTGAAGAAGGATAGGGGATTTTTTAACTGTAGGATTGAGGCTTTATCTCAAGCTCAAGCATCAACCACCGCCTCCTTAATTTCTTGAAGTGTATATACTAATAGGTTCAGTAACAACACTTTATTGCATTTATTTGCTTACATTTCTGCTCTTTCTGGTTTGTTTTTTCAGATTTATTTATTTATGCATATAAGAACTGGGGTACAGGCCAGAGGTATGGGGCAGGTGCAGGGAGTGAGAGGATTCATTGGATGCAGAGTGGGGAACACAACTGGCGGATTGACTGAAATATACTGCTGAGGGGAGCAGCAGGCGAGACAGGAGAAAGGAGAGGTCTGCTGTGCCATGTGGGTCAGCTCCCTGGCAGGCAGTGGAACTGCAGTGACTGTGGCTACTAATAGCTTCATAGTGTTGTGCATTAACCCGCTGAGCCACCAGGGAGGGCCCTTTAACCTATTTTAAGGTTTGTACATGAGCTCCTAAATTTAGTTTAGTGCTTGGCATATAATCAATAGGTTTTGTTGAATGAAAAATGAATATGAGAAATTGCTTTGAAACTGTCCAGTGGTAGAATAACTTTCCTGTCAGGTAATGAACTCCCGGTCAAGGGCAGTATTTAATCACAAGCTGGATGCTGAAGTGATGCTACTGAAGGGATTTCCATGTTCTGTAGAAGTGGAAGATTAAACTTCATTTCCCCATCTGATATGATAGTATTAATTTTGTAGGATGAGGATCCAAGAACTTTATAAACTGACCCTATGATCAGTTAATTATGTCTTTCCCACACATTTGGTTAGCATCTACTTTGTGCCTACTCTTGTTCTAGACTCTGAAGATAAAAAGATAAAAGTCACCTAGCCAGTATCATAAGGAGCTACAAGTCAGCAGGAAATTAAGGGAACAGTGCGTCCACCAGATCTGTGGGCTCTGCATTGGTAGTTTCAGTCGACTGTGGATTGACAATACATACTTGATAGCTAAGCCTACTATGGTTGCCTCTGGACTGAATATATACAAGACTTTTTCCCTCCTTTGTCATTATTCCCTAAGCAATACAGTATAAAAAACTATTTACAGAGCATTTACATAATATTAGGTGTTGTACGGCTCTAGAAATGATATAAAGTGTAGGGGAGGATTTGTGTAGTTCATATGCAAATACTATGCTGTTTTATATAACAGACTTGAACAACTGCAGACTTTGATATCTCTGAGAGTACTAGAACCAGTCCTTAAATAATGAGGAGTGACTGTATAGTTATAAAATTTTAGTAGATAAAAATAGAAAAGGACAGATTTTAGAGATGTCTTGAGTAAATGATATCATTTGCTCAAGGAATGAAAGAGCTTGTACAGGTAAGCAACAAGATAGAGGGATGACCCCAAATCCATCTGTCTGAGAAAGGAAATTAGGGGGCGAAGACCACATGCTGTGTTGTTATGAGGGAATTCTCCCAAAGGGACACATTTTTACAGGAATGATTGTAATTAGTGGAGATCAATTTATTTGTAAAGTATTTTGAAATTCTTGGCACAAATGCTCCTTCTTAGTCTCCACAGCCGAAGATGATGATTTAAGTCCTTACTTCTCCAGTTTCCAATCCCTTAGTCCCTTTGGGGGAATAAAGATGAAATGGAAAGTCCTTTAAGTTAGGTAGTTCACTTGAAAGAAAGCTTTCTGGTGACTAGAATAAGGATTGTAACAGTGAAGCACAAAAGGAGTCTTTGTTTTCTTTTTCTAATTCTTGTGATTAGAATCCATTAGGCATTTGAGGACCACTGGTCTGTCTTTATATTACTCTGGTCCCTTGTACTGCTTACAAACACCTACAAATATGTCTTGACACAGATCATTCTTTCTAGCTGGGACATGATACCCAGGTAGGTGGGGAATTCCCCTGTTTTGTTTAAAATCATAGCTGTCTTTGAGTTTGGCTAACATGTCCATGATTAGTATAATGACAATTGGATTGTTTTTCGTTCATACCATGCACGATTCCATGATTCATCTGCTTTGAGTCTGTTGCTTTGAAGGTGAAACAATTTCTTCCAATGTTGATATTTCATAATCTTCTAGATAACAAGCAAATGCATATGCATAGTCTCTTCAGAAGTTTTAAACATTTGGAAATGAATGAATTATACTGTCACAGATGGAAAGGAACAGTGTAAAATCACAATGGTGCTATCCAGTCATCTTTTGTTGGTAGTTGGATGAAACTGATAAAGCCCAGTTACTTGACTATGTTTATCTTTCGTTGAGGAATTGTTACTGGTATGTGTTACTTATGAATTTTAAAATTAAACATTTTACTATAGTTGTTTTGGTTTACATGTACTTTAATGTAGCAAGCTGACAACATCTTTGTGGAAATGGGCTTTAAGTGCCAAATAAATTCTAACATGCACCGTTTATATTGTAATGGTGGCATATTGTCAGTATTTAATGTGTGGCAATGACCTTCAAATCTCAAGGAATCTTTCAATTTCTGATATAAATAGTAATCTTTCAGAACCTTTTCATGGATCACACTACAATCAGAATACAATGAGAGCAGTTGTCTCTTCACTGGCACTTCCTATGTACTTAGAAGATTAGAATTAGACTTAATAAATATTAACTAAATTCATCTCTTGCATATAGCTTTAATCAGTGAACTTAGTGTGTTGTATTACTGTATCATCTGTATCTTTTTACTCAGAATGTCAATGATTTGTTTTTTGGTGAAAAGAAACTATAATTTCATGGTCTAGATGCAAGTGAAAGTTCTTTCTAGGTTTGACATTTGGAGAGAGATTTTTCAAAGATTCTAATTCTCATTATATCTTCCTCTTTCTCCCCCTTTACCTGCTTTTAGCTCCTCTTTGGTTCAGGTGTGCTGGTGTCCCTAAGTCTTTCTGGGCCTCAGCTGGAAAAAGTGGTGATTGACAGAAGCCTGGTGGGAAAGCTCATCGCAGACACCATCAGTGATGGTAATTACCCCCATGTGCAAATCAATTGCCTACATTAACAGTGGGACAGGAGAAATACTGTGTCAACAGGTAGACTAATTATTACCACCAGGGACTTGCAAACGCAAGTAATTGCTTGTAATAGCAAAGTGCCAACCTCTGGGACCAATGCAAGTTTAGACTATTTAATATCAAAGTTTTTATTAAGTGTTAGACATAGTCTGAGTATTTTTTGCTTTTTAAAAAAGGTAAATTATTTTCAAACAAGATTTTTTGTTGTGTGTTTTCAGTTACCATCTGTGACATTTTACATATTTTTCATTTTCAAATAAATTTTGAAAAAATACCCTAATGTGTCAACATAGCCACTAGTGGAAAAAAAAAAATCTGTGCTTTGGCTGTAGAAGATTATTTGTCTCTAAAGTCTATGAATACTAACTTACATGTGAGAGTTTGGCAGTATTTCCAAATACCAAATCCAGTGTCAAACATACGTTTAGATAGATCTGGATCCTATTATGTGATATCACAATCAGTATGTAATTGCTCCAAAACAAAGAAGAAAATATTTTAATCCTGTTATGTTATTGAAGTCAGGATACTGGTATTTACTGAGCCCTAAAAGCTGCTCTGCTGTGCCATTTAATTCAAAAAACAACCTTATCAAGAATAGTTATTCCTACTGTATAGATTGGGAAATTCAAGCTGAGAATCTCAAAAACAAAATGAGACTGTAAGAACAGCTCCAAAGTCACTGAGCTGAGATCTGGACCCAGGTTCTAATTATGCTACCATTTTTTTTCCTACTGCACTGTCCTCCTAAAGCTTTAGAAGTATTCGTTCATTCAAGGCAAGAAGTTTTAAGAAATAGATTGCATTCTCACTAGAGATTGAAAATTGTCAGTATTTTAAATGGAATAATTAAGGATAGCATGTTTTCATGGAGAGGATAGAGGTGAGACTACAGAAATCTTCCTTTTGCTGTGTGCTCTCATTCACTATCTCTGAAGAATTTCATCATTTTGCTGTGTGCTCTCATTCACTATCTCTGAAGAATTTCATCATCTTAAAAAAAAAAAAAAGGCACTCTGCAGGATGGCTATAATTAGCATCATTCCAGATGATAATCAGCTGGATAGGATGGAAGTGTGCCACTTTCTCTTTCTTATCAAGAGTATGGTGCAAAAGAACCTTCTCTGCAGAAGAGAGTCCATGTCATACGTCTAGTATTTGACCCTTTTCTTGGCACTGCAACGAAAGTCGTGGCTATGATGATTTTGTCATATTGATACTCCTCTGTAAGACTTAAAAGGAGAACGCCAACACTATTCATGTCTCTGAGGTATCTTTTTTCACTTGTTTCTTTTATTTATCCCCCAAATAATACACTCTCATGAGACCATGATAACAATGTGATTTCTTGGCAGTTCTCCAGATTCTCCTGTAATTGTGTAGTTCTACTGTTGGTTACAGCTTGCATAGCCAGGGTTGTGGAAATAAAGAAAAATATGGAAAACACTCAATAATTTCTTTAAGAATGACATAAAAATTTTCTCAGATTCCTATTGTGTTTTATCAGTTTTACATAACATTAATGAGTATTATCTACCTATTCTGTGCTTCAGAAAGAAAACTAGGAATAAGCTTCATTATTAAATATTATATAATGCACAATTAACATGATATGCTTTATTTCATAATAGTATCAAATGACATTTTATTTCATAAAGCATATCATGTTAATTGTGCATTATATAATATATTTAACTTGTATACTTTCAAAAAGAAGACTCATTGATGAAAAACTTTAAAATAGAAAAAGCAAGGTTGGTGATTAATATTGAATTGTATCTCCTAATATATGTTTTATGCCATATACACATTTGAAAGGCTATGCACAACTAAATGCTTTTATCTTTGTATTCAGGTGTGACCTAGCCTTTCTGTTATGCTTTTCTAGCCCTAATTTCCAAATATATCACATTTGGTGGTGGTTCCCCAATCAGTATATACTAGATTTATTAAAATGTTCACAGGAAAATAACGAATCCATGCATAATTATGTTCATCATTATTGCTTATTCCTGATCTACTTCATGTCCTTGTAAAACATAATGATGTCTAGAGACTTTTGTTATTTCAAATAATATTTATGTTCTGAAAATAAAATTTTTCAGTGGGAAAAATCTGTTAATTCATTATTTGAGTCTACCTTAATACTTGATACTATTATCAAATCTTTTTCCATAGCTCTCCTTACAGACAGCTTTATCATCTTGTCATTTTTGGCACAAAGCAAACTATGTTTTATTCAGTTTACCAAGAAGATGGGTTCTCCTGATATAAACAGAAGACTGGAAAAACTCTCAGCCTTGGATTATAAGGTAGAGATTTCAATTTGTATAGTCAGATTGCTATTTATTAAGGTATTATAGAGTGTCACATGAGTTGATAGTGTGTTCATTATTCTTGAACATTTCCAGATTTCAGAAAATCCAGAGTTATTACAGGATTAAGCTTTATTCATTAGCAACAGTGGCTATCCTAAGTTTTCTTTTACTTTTATTACAGGGGGCTAACAATGGTGTTTTGGCAACAATTTATGTAGTACTGATAGAGGCAAGTTATATATTTGAAAGTGTTATTCTTGCTAGTGGGAGTGTGTATCCCATTTTCCTCATTCCCTTAGACCCTATATCATCTTTCTAAGCTGGGATAGCTGCCCTGGCTTCATTTCACAGGAAAAGAAAGAAGGGAGAGGTACTTGCAAAGGTTAATAGAAAAGTGTAATAAACAAGGGGCAGGAACACCTACCTCCTTCTCGCCCCAACTCCCAGCTATATTGAAGAAAATGCAAAAAAAAAAAAAAAAAATCACCTTCATGTGTTGGTATCTATCTCTCCCTTCACTAACTCCAGGTAATTTGTTTCTTGTATCAGGGACTTTACATCTGTTAAGGCAGGATTTTTATTTTAAGTGATGTGTTTAATTTCAGTTTTGCCACATTACGTTTTAACTGCTCAGAAGGCATACTCTCTGCTGGGATGAGTATTTAATACATTTTCCAGGCTGTTTCAGTTCAAGGCCTCTTTTCAGCAATGACTTGTGTTTGCAAGATTGATCCAGCCTCTGTGACGTGGATTTGAGACAGTTCACTGTTCACTGGGAACAGAGCTGATATACAGCTTCCTTAAAAAAGATGCACCCTATGGCATACCTAGAGTTTCTGTATTAAGAGCAGAGATTTTTAGAAGTCAGTTTTGTGGCATGAAACTTTGTACATTTTGAAATAGTAGTATTTAACCTAACCTTTTGCCCTTCTGTATTGTTTTTTATTTGATTAATATGGTGGTGGTATGGGCAGGGCTTTATTTTATCTAGTTAAGATTATCTATTCTTACAAGGAAGATGTATATTTATATTTAAAAATTCATCTGATAATGTCAGAGACTCTAGGCAGAGCAGGAAGACTTGCACCCATGTCTTTCCATGTCTTCCTTGCACCTGCCCCCCTTTTTCCCCCCTTTTCTAAGGAATCTCCGCTCGCTGAAGCCGCTCCCACTTTGAGACCCTGCCTGTTCTGCCCCCCAGTGATCAGGGACAAAGAGTCTCCGTCATGATGATAAACTACAATTTGATTTTGTTTGACCACTTTGTGGAATGTCTATAATTGATAATATTGTCTTCACCAGTATGGGGAGGACTTAATTTTACTTAGTTAAGCATATCTGTTCTTACAAGGAAGATGTTATCCCTTATATACTTATAAGGGATAAAGTATATTTTAAAATTCATCTGATAATAAACTACAATTTGATTTTGTTTGACCACTTTGTGGAATGACGATAGTAGTTAGATAATATTGGTCTTCACCTGGAAATCACTGTTATGTACTATATTTTGGTTAGTCAAAAAACAGTATTAACATTCTTAATGGGGTCTTTTTTTCTAGAATGACTAACTGTAGGTTTACTTAAGATGTTTTCACACCAGTATGCAGTAATTCAAACTAAATTGTTTTTAATGCTCTCTCTAAAATTCTATATAACTTGTTTGTCCATGTCAAATGTGATGAATAGCTTGGTAAAATCTCCTTAAGTAAAGAACAGTAGCAGCCTGTTAATGAGAGCAAGGAGAAATTGTCATCTTTTCTTATGAAAAGATGTGGAAAATGAATTTAATATATGGGTCTTTATACCTCAATTAAGATAATTGCTTCAATTCTGCCTTTGGATTTGGGAAATTAAGAATATGATCTCTCCATGTCATTTCTAGACACTGGAGAAGTATCCTGCTTCCTTTTGGAAAGTCCACAACAATTTTGCTTTTTAGTTCAATATTTAAAATACTGATATTTAATACTTAGTAAAAACTGTCATTTGTCCACTGGAAGGATATTTTAAGAAATTTACTCATTTTACTTGACTTCTTCATTATCATGATAGAATGCCAATGCCATTAAAGCTCATGGTAAACATGAAATTTTATAACATAAAAGATCTGCATTGTGTAGAGACTAACATCACCAGCCTTTTGTTTCTTCATCTAGAAGTTCATAAGTAATATGGCAAGAAGGACATGAAAATAATATGTGTATTTTTAAATACTTAGTAATTCCTTTGTGATCCACTCAAAGAAGATAGCTAGTTACATAATGGTATTGATATACAAATTTACACTTCAAAATATTAAGTACATCTGTGTTGTCTGTCATTGCCTACTTGTATTTTAAAACAAGGAAATAGTGCAGAGTATTATAATTCTGCTTTTCTTTATAGCTTCACCATAATTTAATTCTGTTAGACTGAAATAATTTTGGCAAAGAAAATTACAGGGTAAATATCCTGAAGCTGTTGACCTTTAACAAGTTTTCCTGTCTACATTTTAAAAATCCAATTCAATTTATTTGACAGTGAAGGGACAGTGCAAGGAGTTAAATGTTTACCATGAGAGAACAACACTCGTAATTACTTTGATTTCAGTTCCTTTTCATGTGCATTCAGAGGATGAAGAGGTCAATAATATTATGGCCATGCAAATAGAAAAGGGTTCCTTTTGACCATATTAAAAAAAAAATAGCAGAGGATTATTAAAGCATTAACCTTGATTTTAATGGCCTTGGTTGAGTGGTGAGATCACAATTTGGATGAGCCTGATTATTTACTAAATACAATACATAAATGCAACGGGTTCTTAACACCCATTGCACTCTGGCATTATCGCATTACTGCCATCCTTTGTTGCCTTGCAGACAGGAATATGAAAGCAATCTGTCATGTAGTGAGACTGGCTCCAGAAGCATTTCTCTGATAAGAAGACCCCCTGCCCTTTGCTAGTGTCTGGTCCAGTAGGCTTAGCCATGCGCTTAATCCCCAGAAAGTGGTTCGATTATTGCTGACCAGCAATGGCAAGATAGTTTTTTTTTTCTTCCAAGCTATCAACCTTCCATTAATTCCTTAAGCAGAAATACGGTGCAATCTATATTTCCTTGGCATGTGTCACCCAGATGGTGCCGTGCTTATGTTTTCAAATAACCATGTTCCAAAATAACATAGTTTGAATAATAAATTCTACAAATCCTTCCTAAGAAAGAGAAGCATAATTCTCAAAAGCTGCATAAACTTTTACGCATGATGCTGTGGCTTATCCGTTTTCTGCAGAATATGTGTATATGTCTCATATAGTCTTTAAAGTGATATTTGCCTCAAGTTGTTTTTCCTTTTGTTGTCAGTCATTGTTAATATGTTATGTCTTAAACAGTAGTCAGACACTCTTGGTCAGCAGAACTGAACTTGTCATTTAATATAGCTGGTCTTAAATCCTGTGTGTAGGTCGATGCTGTCAGGCAACCATGACTGTACATTTTGGTATTGATTGGGATTGTTACAGCCAATTCCTTCCTAACTCACATTTCTCCTTTCCTTTCCTCTGCTAAAAATGGGGAGAAATTTGAACATATGTCTTTTTTGTATGTGTCAAAAGAATTTGGTAAATTCTGACACCTTTTTAAGCTCATGTTTAACATGGATATTTACTTGCACTCATCTACATTTACGGATGCTTTCAATTTTGTAATACTTGGAGGTTTCATCTTTTAAAAATAATTCTTCTGTGTTTCTTTTTTTAACCATTAGATTTCCTATTACGAAATACCTGGTCCAGTAAACAGAACAACGAAGCGTCGTCTAGCTATCAATTGTGTTCAGGATATGGTTGTTTGCTGGTGGCCACTGGTCAGTGATGATGCTTGGCCTTGGGCCCCAATTTCTTTTGAGAAGGACAGAGCTAATCTGCTGCTTCTGGGTTATGCTCAAGGAATGCTGGAGGTAAATATAGAGCAAATATATCCATCTTATTGATGAGAAAATAAAATAGGATTATTAGTTTTTCTATTCTAAAATAAAATTGAGAATTTAAAAACTTATACTTTATTTTCCCCAAATATTCAAAAAAGAAAATTACATATGAAATGAGATTCTTAACATTAATCATCTTTAGAGAATACATGAACTGTTTGTGGCTGACCTAGATGGCACAGTGATTAAGAGTATAGTACTTCAGGATTAAAATCCTAGCTTTTGGCCTTTAAACAAGTGACTAACCTCTTTGTGTTGTGAATTGTAGGTTTGTTATTTGAAAAGTGAAGTTAAAGATAAATGAGTGAAATGCATTTAGAGCTGTACCTAAGTATAATGAACTCTTAATCAGTGATCAGTATTGTGACTTTTACTGATATCATTACTAACACAATCATACTGTTTGCTCAGAATTTTATACCCATGAAAGCTGTGCTTATATCCCTTCTTTACCTTCAGTCAGTCAGTAATATTATAAAAACAAATATTAGTTAGATGTCCAATTTGTGCAAGACTCTGTGGTGCCGTACTGTGACTGGGCACAAATTTATAAGAAAGGCTGCTGAGCAGTGGTCTTAATTGAGCATCTACCACAGACAGGAGTGCCATAAAGGTCAGTCTTGGAGACCAGGATAAATCTCATCTCATCTTTTCCTGTTGATTATCTTTTTCATTGATGATTGTGAACTTACATGTATTTTGTGTATCGTATCTTTGAGTAATAAAATCTGTTGTTTATACCTTAAAAAAAAAAAGAGAGAAAGCCTTCTTCTTTCTGCTTTTAAAACTTTTACCTGGAGAGAAATACTGTGTTCCTTATTTTCTCTAAATATATTATTTTTAGGCTTTAAAGAGTATTTCTAGTTCTCATGATTAGTATTCTGAGAAACAATGAGCAAGTAGCCCTACCTACCTCTGGTTTTATAAACTTTATAAACTGATGTGCTCTTGGTTGATTGTTTTGTTAGTTTTTTCTGGAACTTTCCAATTGCACGACTTAAAACAACTTATAATACTTCAGGCTAAAGAAGTGCTCTATTCCTCTTCACTTCCTGTTCATGTCCATTCTAATAATATTGGTTCTAAGCTAATTAAGATTTGATCAAAATGACCATATATAAAGCCAAAGAATTGTGTTAAAATTTCCTGTCTTCTAATAAAAGTAAAAACAATTAAATCAGCTGTTAGTTATGAATTACCTTTATTGGGAATGAGTGCATCCTGAAATTAGGACTCTTCTAAAAGGATGTACATAGGGCTTACATACTTCATTTGCTGGTGTCATCCATAATAGATTTTGAACTTTGGAGATGGACAAACCTAGATTTGCCTGTGGTTGGGTCATATGCTACTTGTATACTTAACCAAGTTTATTTTCTCTAAGCTTCTGCTTGCTTTTAGTTATATTCTGTTTTCTGTGACTTTGGGTAGCCTCTTGGCTTTGTTTTATAGCCTTTAAAATGATAGATTAAACCAGATAGGTCACCACCTGGTACCTGAAAGCTCTCTAAACCATGCTTATCTATATTCTGAAGCACTGATTCAGTTTCACCATTTCCTGCTCAAATTCCTATAGTGGATGCTAAAACTAAACCCAGCCTCTCCACTGAGAAGTCCACCCTAACTGGCCCTGAAGTACTTTTCCAGTCTTACTTTCTTTTACAAACCTATGTTCCAGCCTATTGATTTACTTACTGCTTCATTATTTCCTAACTCCTGTCTATATACATTATTAATATTTCTACCAGAAAGCTTCTTCCTCTCTTTTAAACATCATTCACCAGTTATTGAGTAAGGCCATGAATTAGCCTTGCATTTCATTGCAGGGATGAGTAAGAAAATATCCCTGCACATAAGGACCTTAGTCTGCCAATGAAAAACAGGTTAAGTGTACTAGAATGTTAAATGATGCTGTGTGTGGAGTGTGTGTAAGCTAGAATGAGAGCCAATGGGTATGGTGGATTCTACTTAGACAAGTAAGGGCTGAACATAAGTTAGTCAAAGGCTTTACTCTGTGCTCAAATAGAACATTGCTATGCAATTTTAAATTATTTTACTATTTCTAAGTTTCATATCGAAATTATAATAGCCCTATGGAGTGCATTGGTTTAACATTTATGTTCTTTCCCTTCTGAAACAGTACCAAAAATAGCTGCTACTTGAAGGCTCGGTAAAATTCATTTTTCAAACCATTTTAGTGTGTGTTTTTTTGTGAAAGATAGATTTTTTTCTCAATAGTTGTTTTTAGAATTTCTGTGTCTTCCTTGAGTCACTTTTCTATAATTTGTATTTCTGGAAAACTGTCCACTTTATCTAAGTATTTTAATAGGCTTTCCTTAAATTTTTATCTGTGTATTTTAATAGACTTTCATAAATTGGTCTGATATGTACATGTGATTTTTAACCATTTATCATGGATTGCATAGCTAATGTACTCCTTAAGTCTTACTATATTAGTATATATAATACGTTTTTTTACAAGTAGCTTTTGTCTTGAATTGGGCCATTTCATTCATTCTCTCAAAATTAAACCAAAATTTGTTAGGACCTCATTTTCAGGACCTCATGTGAACATTAGTATGCAGAAGGTGAATATTTTGAAAGAAATATCTAGGGAATTATTTCTATTATGTGTATTTGCAGACATCTTCAACTGTGAATGATAGCGTTTTTTTGAGGATCAACTAAAATGACTATAAAAGTAAAAGTCGGGCATATGTCTTTAAGTTTTTTTCACTAGTGACCAATAGACTTCTTAAATTAATCATTAGAGTGACGGATATATAGTATTTTCCTAAGCCTTAAAATTCTAGCTAAAAAGTTGCAGCCCCATGGAGAAGAAATTTGATTTTTGCGACTATTAAACTATAGGATTCTTAAAAAGCTTTTCCCACCCAACTTCAGTCAGATAATAGGCTTTTATTTGGACAGTGGTAAGATCCTTGAGTAGTGGCTCCTAGGCTTGGCAACATGTTACAGTCACCTGCCGAGTACTTACAAAGGGGCCCACCCAGAGAAGTTACATCAGAATTTCTAGAGGGCAGGAGGCATCGGTATTCTTTTACAGGTTCCCTAGGTGATTCTCATGTGCATCCAAGTTAAGAACCACTGCTTTACAGCAACCTAAAAAAAAAAAAAATTAAAGCCACCCCTTTTGCATAACAGACCATGGAAAGGATAAAGCCCACATACTGAACCAAATGAGAGTTTTAACAGTAGATTCTAAGTAGAAAATTGGCTTACCGAGCTGCTTTAAAAAAAAGAAAACAAAGGAAACATAGACATAGAGACTCTGTGACGGAATTATCTGTCTTTCAGAGGAGGAACATTTTTTAATTTATTTTATGGATATTAGAAAACCGCTGGTTCAATTTCACACCACAGAGCTCTAAACAACAGTATGTATCTTAATTAGAAGCACAGAACAAAATTATGTAGTTTAAGAAAATAATTTATCTTGAAAAAATATGCAGTAGATAATATAGAGATAAAGAAAAAAGTATCAATCAATTAATTTTAAAGTCATTTTAATATGTGCATGATAAGTAGTCATTTATTACCATATACAACAACGGTAGTTGTTTTTATTTAAATCTCTCACGTCATTTGTGTAACTCCTTTTGGAACGCTAACTAGGATCCTAGAACTATTTAATTTATTCACTTTGTCAAAAATGTCATAACAAGATATCTTACTTTTCCCTTTGTGAGCAGATTTTTTAACTTTCAGCTGTATGGAGTGGCAATGTTTCTAAGTATGGTAGTAATTTCTTAGAAAATGGCACCTGACTTTAACAAATTATTCAAAAGCACATAAGCTGGTCTACAAAACCTTAAAACCTGATGTCAGGGTTAGAAAAATTTAATTTCACAAAGATAATTTTTTTCCCATAATAATTCAAAACTATTCTTGTAGTAATGTACAAGAGAAGGAACCGATACAAAAGTAAAAATGTAACTGGGCCTCCTGGTGGCCATGGGGTTAAGTCTCAGCCTTGTAAAACTGTCACCACTAATGTCTGAGTCCACTAATGTCTGAGTTTGATTCTCCTCCAGGAATCTAACCCACATATAGCACAGCAGACCTTTTTGGTCTCACCCTCTGCTCCTCTTAGCGCTGTATTTTAGTCAGTCTGCCTGTTCTGCTCCTTGTACCTCTGTTCTGTTCTGTTCCTTGTACCTCTGGCCTTCACCCCAGTTCTATGCAAAGATAAATAAATAAAATCTTTAAAAAGAAAAGCAAAAAAGGTAGCCAACTGAGCCATTCTCAGGTCAAGAAGTAGAGCCTTACTTGGCACCCAGAAATGCTGTCACATTCTCTGTCATGATCTCAACCTCTTCTTGGACCCAAAATTGGCCCCAATCATTACTTTTAATCACATTCTTGTATGTCATAATAGTTATTATCTCCTAAATGTAATTCACAAAACTGTAGTTTAATATCCATATAAAACATTTCAGTGTATCTCTTTAGTCTCTTTTAATCTCCGAATTTCCCCCTCCATTCCTTTCCTTTCCTTAAAATTTATTTGTTGAAATGATGGCACATGGGTGACTTGATGATGGGAAACCCACGGAGATTACAATTGAGATGAAAAAAAAAAATGTACAAAATGATGTAAAAATAAACAAAAAAAATTTATTTGTTGAAAATGTAGTGCCCCACATTCTGGACTTTGTAGTTTGCATAATAAGCATGTTGTGGGCAGTGTGCTTGAAATTCTTTTGAAATTCTATAAATTAGTAGTCAGTTTGGGCAAGATATATTAGATGGTGTATTCTTTTACCTCTTTTTTTATTTTAGTAGTGATTGGTGCTTAGTGCCTAGATTCATTAGGATAGCAAAGTCCTGTCCTAATAGTATTCTTATTATTTTTTTATTTATTAATTGACATACAACTCTTCTTGACTTAATATGGTTCTAAGTCATAATGTATCATAAGTCAAAATATATTTAATACTCCTAGCCTA